ACATTTCAAAGGCATGTTATCCCGGATGCATGGGAACAATGAGCGGGACTCACCTACGGTCAAGATTGACCTTTGCTAAGAAAGCGATAGGCCTGGGACGTGACTACCTGCCCGGTCAGGAATTTGTGATCAGACCATCCTGTGCGGTTACTTTAGGTCACTGAGCTTGTCAGGCCTGCCACGTGGCTCCCCTGAGCTTTTCATGTTTATTACTTAGCCCCTTTTTTTGTTCATAGGTAGAATATGAGTAGCAGTGTTCTGGTTAAGTGAGAATTGTGGTGCAGGATGGTGGGACCACCTTACTTGGGAGTCAGGCCAGGCCCCTTGATCCAGCCCCCTAGAGTGCAATCAGTGTCAAGTGGGGGCTTCAGGGCTCTCTTTTGTAAAGTGTGAAACCACCAGAACTATCCTGGTGCTTTTCAAGTGCACATAATTGCTTGCTGATTTATTTATTTATTTTTACAAAAGAACCCCCTGATTAAAGGGAAATCTCATGAGAACGCCCTCTGCCTTGTTCATTCCCTGGCTGGAACTTGGTGAGACTTCCCTCTTTTATCCCAAAGTGACCTCCTTCCAGATTTGAAGAAAGGGATCCGCTCAGGGACCCGGGGTTTGCTGAATAAGTCTGTGGTCACTCTCCCTGTTCAGGTAACGACCTCCTGCAGGGGAGGATCCCGCACACACTGCCCCTTGTCCTTAGCCAGCTTTGGACACCGCCAGTGTCTGGATCAGAGACCTGTGCTGGGGCGGGGCCAGGGAGCAGCAAGGCAGTGGTGGATTCCTCAGGGGGTATTCAGGGCTCAAGTGGGCAGCTCAGGTCAGGGGGCAGCTCAGGCTGCAAACCCAGGCTGCCCACTGAGCTGGCGGGTTAGTGATGCGCTGAGCTGACGTCTTGGCCTCACTGCCCCAGTGCATGTGGTGGAGTCCCTACCTTGTGGCGTGAAAGGTGAGCAAGACACAGGTGGCCTCCAGGAGCCCACCATCTAGCAGGCAAACAGACGTGGAAGCGCACAGATCCTGTGCTATTTAGGGGAAGAATGGGGTGCTGGAGCAACGGGATTATGGAATATAATAAAAGAGGGGGACATATATGGGATGGGGCAGGGAGAGCTGTTTTGAGTATTTTATCCTGCTTTTCTAAGTTTTGGAGTTTTTCTTTCTCTCTCTGGAGAGCATCGGTGTGATCCAAAGCTATCGCCACCAGAGGGGAAGTCAGCAAGGACATTTTTTAAGTCTGTCCAATCACGCAGGACCGATCCTATGATACAAAGTTAGGAAGGACTCTGAAACCCTCAAAGAAAGACCTAAAACAAGTAAAAGGAGCCCTGACTTACTTTAAAGATGGTAAGTGCATGCCTCAGAGCTTACAAGAAAAAGTCGTGGTCTTAAGAGAGATTTCAGTTCAGCTCCTGGCCCCATTCACCATTTATTAGCTTGTGACCTTGACAAGTTAACTAACCTACCTGATCTTTAGTTTTCTCACCCATAAGGATGAAAATACATACTTCCTAGAGTTGTTACATTTTACAAATTAACATATACATGGTAAGCCTTAATAGAGAGTAGTTAAGATTATTCCGCTACTAATAAGGATGATTACGCTGAAGAAGATGGAGAAAACAGATACTCAGAAAGCCTTTCCATGCGTCGATAAACGATGGCCCTCTCACACAATGTAAGGAAATTGATGGAATGTGGAACACATGCCCAAAGTGTTTGTGATCAAGGACGCACAGAGTCGCCACCATATGGTCTTAGGAAATTTCCCCTTGGGGTCACCGTCACCAAACTTCTGAGCCAGACAGACCATTGGTGGACCTGACCTGACATTTTTAATATGTTTGCATGTAATAAATTTGCTTGCTGTCAGGGCTGTCTGCAGTTTGAGATGTTGGCTGTTCCCTCTGGGGAAAGACTCAGTGCTGAAGGTTAATTCGTCTGAGCTCCCTGATGGGATGTCAAGGCCTAGAATGTGTTGAGATTAGCCCGCCAAAGACACCATTTCTTAGAACGTTTCCTCATGGCATTTGGGATGCAATAGTTTAAAATCCTCTGAGCTGTTCAACCAGACCCAGAAATCCAGGGTCTCACCACTCCTCTGAGATATCAGTTTTTCCTCTCCCCGCCTCATTCCATATGTCTCGCCAACTCATCTAGTAGCTTAATAAGTCCAAAGTAAACATTGTACCCAGGTACTTAAAGCCGGCAGATGGCTTCACATGCGAAAGTAATGCTATTCATCGGCTTGTAGTTGATGTATATGTGATGGGAATCTCAATTGCCCTCACACTGAATGAAAGGACGTGGGCGTTGGGGAGAGAATGCCTGAGATGAACTCAGAAATAGAGGAAGACTTGTGTGCAGAGGAGGCTGTGTGGTGGCCCAGAAATAATTGGGAGTCTCATCGACTTGAATCTGACCTTGAGCAAGTCACTTTCCCTGCCCAGGCTGCGGTTTCCTCATTTATCACATGATGAGGGCTGATCCCTCCTTTGCAGGGCTGTTGTGATTATGAACATCAAGGGGCCCACACAGTGCCTGATACAGTCAGTGTTGAAATCTTTTTCCCTCCCCTTCTCCCCACCATTGAACAATTGGGAAAAGGGAATATTTTTAATACGGGGCAAGGATCCATATACAGAATAGCTAAACAGTAGTAAATGATTGCTATTCTATCACAGCACTTTGGATGCAGCTACTCTGATCCAACTTTTGTCAGAATAACCAATGAACACTATCACCCATGGTTTTGAGTGTTTACTCTGTGGCTGACACTGTATGTGTGTTACCTCCTCTAACTTCGTCACTCATCCTGTACCTGAATTCCAGGGGACAAAAACCCAGCTCAAATTGGCTTGAGAAGAAAAAAGGAAGTTTTGGACCAAAATACCTGAAAAGTTTTGAGACTAAATTGCCTTCAGGCTTGGCTGGATCTAGGTGCTCCTAGAATGTTTCTCATGCCTCAGCAACCTTGATGCCACCTTGTATTCTTAGGCAATATCTTCCTTCTTGATGGGAAAAGGGCCCCCAGATACTCCAAGCTGACCTCCTGCATCAGAAAGAGCCAGCCTTGTTTCGACAGTCCCAGCAAAAATCTTGGTGTCAGCCATGCTGTTACCCCACAACCAACCACTGTGGCAGGTGGTGCTCTGATTGGCTAGGCTGAGTCCTGTGCACCTTCTCTGGGCTGGAAGGGGGAGTGTCAGCCCCAACAGAAGCAGGTGGACATTTGGAGGATGGACCTTTTTTTGCAGGGAAAATGGGGTGCTGCTATCAAAAGAAAGGAGCGTAGATGCTGTGTAGTCACATCATCAGATTTCTCCTATAGAGCTGTGTGGTACAACAGTTACAGAAAGCGCGCAGCGTAATGGCTCAGAGAAGAACTTGGTGGTCAGACTGCCTGGGTTCATATGACAGCTCTGCCACCTAGGACTTGTGTGACGTTTGGTAAGTTACTTGACCTCTCTACCCGTCAGTTTCCCAAATTGTAACAACAGGAATGGTTATCGGCCTTACCTCAGCATGCTGTTGTGAAGGTTAAACGAGTTAACACATGAAAAGTGTTTAGAGCGGCACCTGGCAGAGTAAGAACTCATCTTCATAACCTATGTGCGTAGCGTCCCCTAGGCTTGTGCAGCGTGCAACTGATGTAACTGTACTCAGTGGCCCTGCTCAATGAAAGTGAGCCATTATTGCCGCCATTTTGGGAGTAGGAAAAACCAAAGCTCAGAGAGGTTCAATAACCTACTCAAGGTCACAGGCTCATAAACAGAGGCGTTGGGACTGGAACCCACTTCTGTCTTACTGCTGGCTCTGCTCTTAACCACCACACAACACTGTGGAGTGTCGCCATATTGGGAGAATGCACCCCTCCCCCCATCCTTTGACAAAAAGTGTTCAGAGCAGTGTCTGGCTCAGAGTCAGAGCTCAGCCTCATAACCCATGTGCACACCCAACA